ATATAATATGCATGAATTTTTAGATAGATACATAAAGGTTTATGAAATGAAATTTTTTTTGTTTAATCTTTTTGAGATTAAAAATTTTAAAATTCACGAGTCCACTATACTAAAAACATGATCACAATATTTTTATATGATGATTCTTAAATAATATTTTTTTCAGCAATATTATTTTCTATATAGACATGGCAAATAAAAATTTCATATCTATTGTTCTTGTCACGTGAAGATTATTTGCTCTCTTCCATGGATGATATACATATACTAAAACTTTTATTTTTCATTACATATGCATTTAACTACTTCATTTTCAAATTTGATCTTGTTGAAGCTAAAGAGATAAAAGTAATCTTACATCTCTTTTGAAATGAAAAAAAAACATTATTTACATTTGAAACTTTCTGAATTTTTTATGACATGTATCAATAGATTTATACATTATCAAACAATTTTTATTTTGATCATAATAAAGATTAAAAAAATAAAAAACTTGATCAATTTCTTGTTGTAGAATATTTTTCAGTCAATATATATATGGAAAAATCTAACAAATTTTGTTTATAGAATTTTCATGTGTGTTGAGGTTTGTTGTACGAATATGTATCATCATACAACCTGATATCTCATACTCACACGCACACATATATAGGAAACAAGAACGTACACATACACAAATGTATCATAGCTAAACAAAGTCGTGTAAACTCCATTGGCTTAAAATACAAAGCTTACATAAAAGTCAAGTCAAGCCCACTCCACAACTCGAAGAACTTAGGCCGAAGCTAACGGTACGTCATAGCTGATCTACTGAAAGCTATTTCCACGCAAAAGATGCAACTCGAAGAATTGACAGTTCTTCGAGTCCACACAAGTATACTCTCCGACGAGAATGAGCTCTAATGTAGGCTCTATCTTGGGTCAACTCAACTAACCGTAACCCAATGTTTATCATATGTGGGCATGACTAGTTTGCTTCTATAGTTCATTAAATTTAAACATTGTATGTCGTTGTTCGCAATGTAGATTTGCTCTTTCTTTGTTGCCATTTTATGTAAAAATGTATATTTATTTTCAAAAATTTTGTGCTAAATGATTTCATCATGAATTTTTTTGAAATTCATTATCAAAAAGCTAAACAAATTGAAGAATTATGTCTATATTTAAACATTACACATGATTAGCATGTTTTACATGTGATATATGATCTTTGTTTATGAATTCACATTGAAAAAATTAAACAATTTATTTTGATATTATTCATAGATGCATCTTCATTGTCAAATTTTTGCTTTCATTAAATATTTTAATCATGCTTGAATTTTGTTGATAGATTAAACTTTTTTGACATCATCAAATCAAGCATTTTTGAATATGTGATTGATGATCAATATGTTGAAATATCAACTTAAAAAATTTTATTTTCATGAAAAAAATACATTTTTATTATTTTTTATGAATATGCATGTATGTTATCAATGACTTATATGCAGACATGGTTATTTTAGCCGTTTGTATACCAAGGCGCCTAAATTACCTAAGTTGATATTTCCTCTAGCGACTAACTTACATGAGCATCTAGATTGTTATTGGCTCGGAATTGGAGCCTGGGAGATTACAACCATTCAACTATGATGCTTGTCAGTCTCATATAACACTTAGTACAAAATGATTGGCAATCCTCTATGAAAATGATTTATGATTTTGTGCTTAACTTCGTGAACGAACAAATAAGTGATGCTTCTTTGGTGAAACTCACCAAGGTCTTGATCCAAAATTTGCAAATTAATATTTCTCTTTCCACGAGCCTCACAGTCCAAATGCAAGCACCGCATGATGATGACTCTTTCTTCCTCTATCTTTGAACCCTTCACTACTTTTCAAATGTACTCAAGTCAGCTTGTAGCACCAAAGTGACTAAATTCCCTAAATTAACTTTCTTGATACTACTAAATTAAGATAATTTAGGTCTTATTGCTAATGACCAATGTTACCATACATGCTTATATGATATTAAAAATATTTAGCCAGTTTTGAAAATCTTTCACTTTGGTATTGCATGTGAATATTTAGTTGAGATGTTTGCATCAATGTGATGTGATAATAGGATTGAATGTATGTCAGACACTATTATGTAATGTCAAAAACATTCTAGACCTAAGTCATAACATGATATTATTTATTTTCATATTATAGATTCGACATTTATAATCTATATCTTGTTTGATATGTAATCTTTTTGAATTTGTACTCAATCTAACTCAGCGTGTCATTGTTTAATTACAAGATATTCCTTCCGAGTTTTGGACATGAAACTTGTGTGTTCTTGAATTTTGACTTATCATATATTTGGATTTATTTAGTTTGCAGTAGCAAGTTTTGCAAACAAGGAAACGTTTGTAAAATACTTTAAAAAGATATATCCTCTTTAGAAAATTAGGTCTTGACTCAACTCAGATTAATTTTACATTCAATAACATGAAAATTATTTTTATTTACATTTATATCTCAAATTTCATAAAAAAATCAAAATAGTTCTACTAAATTTAAATTAAATTGAATGAAATCTACAAAATTTTATATCAAAATTTATTTTAAAATTTTCAAAAAAATTCTAATTGAATAATCAAAAATTAAGAATTAAAATATATCAATGACTTTTTGTAATGAATCTATTTTCATGCTTCTTGAATACTTTATTAACAAAAAATTTGTAGACAATGTGAACAAAATAGAAATTATTCCTTCATATTTGCTTATTTTTATAGACGCTACATCAATAGCTTAAGTTTCAAGTGTTATGAGATATTGCTATCAACATTAGATACGTAATTAAAGCTTAGAATTTTTTGATTGTATAGGATGATTTAAATTTTTATTTTTTATTTGAAATTATAACATAATGATATACATGCATAAAAAGTAATAGCATGTGTCATTATTAAAAAAAAATACTTTCATACATCATATTATTTTGTCCTCATTTCAAATTTATATGTAATCTTGAGTTTCATATATATATATTTATTCATAAAGAAGCATGTAAAGATCAAACTATGAATTGAAAATCAAAGTGACATCAATGTTATCTTGTAAGTCTTTGTAATAATTTATCGTTGATTTGAAAATGTTGAAATGCACATGAAATAATCAAGACAAAAAAATAATATTGATAAAAAATATTTTAATGATGAACTGAAAATTGATTAATGAAAAATATTGAGAAAAATAATTGATTGAAATTAAAGATTCTAATTTGAAAATTCAAAATGATATTTTTTAATTTTTCAAAAACAATATCTTCTTTCTGTGTTATTATTGTGAACACTAGAACTTTTGAGAAAATGGAATTTAAGTTTATCAACAAAATACATCATAGTATTAAATTATGATGGATTTTGGTTTATTTTTTTTCTAAAAAAATCTCAATAAGACTTTACTTTTCTTATAATTTATTTTAATTAAATTAGACATAACCATCTATGTATTTAACATCTGAGTATTTCTATGGTAGCATTTATCAGTAAAACATATCAGACATGCATTGTGTTGCATCAAAAGTGTGATCCTGCGTACATTACCACATTACACCATTATCATTGTGATCCTCCTACATACAATAGACATAACTAATAAGTCTGTGCAGTGCAGTTCATTTAAACTTGACTTGGTGTAATGCTCCTGCTCGACATCAACAGATTGCCTGATACACTGACGGACATGCAGTAACATACAGTACTCGAACAGGATCTCGTGGGAATCAAGGTGTTGTAGCCTGGAGTGTTTATTACAACAACAAAGTCATAATAGTCTGGTGACAAATGTTGGTCAATGCTTATAAGCTTTGCATGTAAGAACAGTAAATCAGTAAAATCATACGCCAACAGTAAACTGATATTTCTACGTTTGTAGAGTCTGCAGGCTGTATATGCACAGTGGCCTGTGTTACCCCACTTTGTCTCATCCGCTGTACACAGTCGGGTAGGAGTAACTATTCAAACTGTGAGTTGGGCCATTTTCACCATCGTGATGGATCTGGCGATCCGCCGGAATTTTTTAATCGAGAGCATTTGTACCAGGTACGTTGTGATGACATCGGATGAACCCTTTCGGAATTGTTCGAGTACATGGGAATGAACTGGATCACAAATAACGGGTTTGGAATTTATTGTGCCGTCCACTCTGTTCTGGTTCGGAGCACCGTTATCAGCACCTGACCTCGAGGGGAGAAAAGCCTGTCACACAGTCAAAGTTATCGTTGGTATTGGGGTCTGACTTGACCGGGGGCCTATGGGAGGTGAGGTCGGGTCAGGGTCAGATTCTGACCATGAGTTATCATTCAATGTCGCCTGACATCGCTTTGTTCGCTGCGATTTGCTTTGGAAAGGAATATGTGGAAATTGACCCGAACCCTCGCGGCTCTCTGGTCTGTTCCTGACCATGAGTCATCAACCCATGATTCCTGCCTCGCAGGGCTCTGACGTTTGGCATGTAGCCTCGGAATGCCTGCGATGACAGCCGGCAGGGAGAGGTGAAGTCGCGGGGCCCGGAAGCCTGCAGACGGGTTCAGGGCCCAACCGGTGCTAAGGATACGGCTGTGGCCGGTGATGAGTAGGCTGGGTGATCCGGCTGAAATGGCTCATGCTCCGGCTTGCGCCGATAACTGCCAGTCGTTTACCGTTACCTGACTTCGGGGGAGTCTTGGTAAAACTCCCGACGAGGGAAAAGCCAACGACGGCGGCCTCGTGACGGATGCCACGGCGAACGGCATATAGCCACGCGGTCTTATCTCGCGAGGAATCCTATCGACGGGCCGGGAGTCACGGGACGTAGGGAACGGAAGGGAGTCGCGGGACTTCCGGGCAACAGTCTCGATTTACTGAACAGTAATCAGCGGACAGCAGTAATCAGGCCCGGAAGAAGGCTTCAAGCGCGGGGCCGCGGGCCAGGACAGCGCGGGGAGGACATCTTCAAGAGAAGGACGGGCTCGTGGGCATTTTGGCCGGGCGTTGTTGGGCTTTTCTTGGAAAATATTAATTTGGGCAGCGGAGGCAGAGTGTTTTACTCGGGGACGGTGGGCATTAGTACGTCCGAGGCGCATCTCGAGAGCCTGCCGTCTGCCTGCCCGACGAGCGAGGGAAGGGCCGAAGCGAAGGAGGGAGCGCGGTAAGGAGGGAATTCTTGCAGCGGAGCAGATCTGCGTCCGCGTTTGATGCGAGCGCGCGATGGCACAGTAGTGCGTGTGCTCGTGGGCGAGGAGCGGTCCATCAATCCGAGGCCGGGAGCGAGAGCAGGAGACGAGTCCGAGTAGTTGCTTTAAAGATGGCCCAGATAGGAGCTGTAGCGCTTTGTGCGGAGGCGCCACTACGCCGCACACGAAGGTGAGAAAGTGTATAGTTGAATTAAATGCTGTAGAGAAAAAAGGGGTCCGCCATTGTGTCGCCCGATACTCAGTGCACTCTCTGCGTCAAGACACCACTCACTGCCTGCCAGCCGTCCTTCTGTATATGATTTCTACACTTGATCTCTTAACGAGAGAGAGGGAGAGGGATAGAGAGACGGAGGAGCTCATTCGAGTGTTTTGTTTGTCATAGCCCGATAGTTTGTCTCGTTTGGAGATTAGATGTGTATATTGAGATTGAAGCTGTTGCAGGGGATTGTATGCCCTGATCCATGAGACGTTGAGAATGTGGGATGAGTTTACAGAGAAGGATATATTTGTAAAGTCAGTCTGTAGATTTCTGGTGTTCGCCGCAGCAAGCAGAAGTTCATTCGGTCTTGTTTAGGCATTGACAAGGAGCGCATTGGCAGCGGAGACGAATGATGTCCGTCGATGAATAGATTTTGCAATGCTGCTCTTTGAAAACAGCCTGGGAAGCGAACAACCGGCAGGTATGTTGAGGCGTCTATTCTACGTCGTGAAATCGCAGTGTGCTCTTTCTCTGCAGTCCTAGCTCCCTTCGTGGATGATCGTTGTCTTCGTATGCTCCAAGTAGTCTTGCCCGAAGTCGATGTTGCGTTGAGTTGCTACTATCTTCAATGCCTGCTCACCGAACTGTGGCAACGTTCCCTCCGTACGGTTTATGCGCAAGGATGCATTGTCATGGACTAGTCTTTTAAAGTGATTCTACGGCCGAGACATATCTACTGTACCCACAGTCGTAGCTCGTAGGTACCAATAACCATGATTATCATCAAGAGCGCAAGTTAAGAACCACTTCAAGCCCAGGACAAGACTACAGCGGGTAAGCTTTGCGATGGAATGATAGAGACTGGAACACCAAATTCAGGAATCAAAGTTGATTCATCAACAACCGATGGCAGACATCTTGAAAATAAGATGATGTAGAACGAACGCAAAGTCTGATACGCCTCGTCGATGTACAGGCACGAGGGTTTTGTTTGCCTTACATGTGATACTCCACATTGAAACTTAACGGACACAGATCCGACGCCTGGACCTGGTTTGGTCAAAGCAGTAGCCATGTGTGGAAGCTCTTCTTGGTGTCGAGCGCCAGTTTGTGGATTTCTGTTCAAAGTACCTTTCCCCCACTCTGTGCCCACTGAAAGAATGTTCCTTTTGTAAGGAAATCCTTCACGATCAGGGTCCTCGTAGTTCAGGTCCATGTTGAAATCGAGACCCTCTTTTCCGTCCTTAAAGCTAGGGAAATATCTTCTAGGTGTCTGCTTGTTATATATAGAGATTTCCTCAGGAATTGATTTTCCTGATTCGTATACACCATGTAGTGTACGACTTGAGTGACGTATGACAGGTAGCATGATCTTTTATCGCAGACATTTCAGGCATGTGATACATCGCAATGTGACTTAGAAGAACATAAATGCATCCATTCCATAGAATTGTCTCCATTTTCCTCCCATTATCCAACCTCTACAGAGTTTCTTCTCGATGTGCGATCGGGACATCTGCCCCACTCTGAGAATGGAGATCACCATGCAGTGGACGTTGAGTACGCATTTTCACTACCTTCCTAAACTGCTCTTGGTTGTGCTTAGGAGAGCATCTCGACGAGGCTAGCGCTGTCGCCGAGCATTCCTATGCTATAACAGGAACTTTCCCAAACGCTTATACTTATTAGGTGTGTTGCTGTTCGTCGATATGAACTATTTACGATCATATGCTTCATCAATCCACTCATAGGGCAGTCTAGTAAGCCATTTTTCGAAACAAACTTCTAGGTTGTCAATTTTCGCGACTACCTCTACACATACTATTCTACTATTATATTATACTACACACATATTAACGACCGACGAAGAAAAATGTTTATTTTTATACATCTACAATCTGATGTTCTGACTGCCTGCTGTGCAAAGCATTGAGCTCGTCAGCGATCGCCATGTTCAGGACTTGTCTTCGTATCAAAGATTGATTAAGTAGCGTTTCGTCCGTATGTCGGTTCCTCATCGCCAGCCGTTTGCTTCTTGTGCAGCTAGGAGGGGACCTTCAATCAACCGAAGCAGGATTTGCTCAGTGCATCTGGTCCTTTACTCAGCTGTCGGTGATAAATTTTAGATATCTGATCTGTAGAATTTTCCCGACTGAAAAAATCTCTGCATCTAAACCTGCTCTAGAAACAGCGGAGCTTCCATCTTCAACTACGCCGCAAGCTGTCGGTAGATACTCTGTGGGCTACAAGTACAATGCCTGGAGAGGCTCCGACTGCCGCCTGTGATGAAGAGCTGCAGGAAAGACGCGAGAAGGAGATGCGGTATAAGAAATGGTTGGAACAGGTTACAATCAATGCGGTAGAGCAAGCTTTGCGTATTCAACTGGATGAATCTCAAAGACAACCTGAGACAGGGGAAGCGCAGGATCTGCAGGTAATATCTTGGTGAATTTGTTCTTTCTTTAAAGGATGAATTGTTTGGAATAAAAGTCTCTAGATGTAAAAGGTTGAGGTTTTGAAGCTGGTTACTGAATTTAGCTTTTTCTTTAAATGTGCAGCCATGTTCGTCTGCCACTGCTTTACCCAACCTCCCCCCGATTCGCACTCATTGCATCCCGAAGACCTGGAGTCTAGATCGGAACTCAGAAGAGCGACGAGCGGTGGCTGCAAGAATATACTCTTTGCTGGTATTATGGAAGCCGGACACGTCGTTCGAGTGGAGAGCGCGCGTCGCTTCTGCCGTACATATATTTGAGAGGGCTCTGTACCAAGAAGCAAAGAGCAAAGAAGAGTATTTGAATCCTTTGATGCTAGATTTGCAATTGAGACAAATTCTACGACACTTTGAAGCTGGTACAGGCTCTTCTTTGTTGTGGAAGATTGGGAGTCGAAGCTCTGGGGCTTTGACCAAATCTGTTTCTTTTAATTCGGGTTTGACAGAGGCAAGAAGAAGACCGATTGCTCTGGGAGACCTTATGAAGATGCATGATGCAAGTCTAGAAGATACAAACGTGCGTCCTCGTCCAGGAATTATACAGACGATACACGAGGATGAAGTCAGTACCAGGGAAGCTCCACTAATGGATCCAACGGAACTTCTCGAGCAGTTGAGAGAGGAAGCTGACACTACACAAAGAATGAATTTGCGTAGAGAGGAGGCAGACGGTGCTCTGTGGGAGGCGATCTTGTGTGGGAACTGGAAAGACATGCAAGACAGTTTGAACAAGTATTGTGACTATGCTAGCAAGAGAATAGTTAAACGTGTGCAGGTGTTGATGTCTAAAAGGAAACAAGAAGACGCAAAGAAAGTCGAAGTGGAGCTTCTGAACGCAATGAATGAGCGCAGTGCAGAGAAGCTGGCTGTTGTCCTTTGGCGGGCAAGGTCGGAATTTGGAGAGGAATTGAAGAATTTGTGTGCCGATGCGGCAGCCGTGCTGGAGAGGTTGATACTAGAGATCAGGTCCGACGGTTCTGGAGAATCTAGTAGTCTCGATGCCCTTCCAGGCAGGGCAGTAGAGAGTAGAAGGGTAGTCGAGAATGTAGATAGCGGGTCTATGGCCCAACCGTACACTTCTCCTCCTCTTGAGCGAAGGCAGAACCCGAGACTGGGTCGGAGTGTCACATTCTCCTTTCACGAATCGTCGCAGTCTCGAACAGTTGAAGGAGCTAGTAGCGGGGTTAGATTAGAACCCGCGCACCGTATTGAACAGGGCAGGGCAGTTGAATCTGACAGGTCCAGGTTTTCCTCGTCTCTTCCAGAAAGATCCCCGGACGTACTGTATGTCCAACGATTGGCTCATGCAAGGAATTTACAGAGAAGAGAACGCAGACACCTAGGGTCGTTACTGGAAGAAGCTCGAGAAGATCCTGCATGGTCACCTCCTGGAAGAAGTGCAGTCTCCGATGTACAGGGCTCCTCTTCGGCCTCGTCTAGAGATCAGTATGTTGGTGAAAGAGTTGGTGGAAACTCTTCAGTTCAAAGTGATATACCCGACCAGTCCGCAGAGCCATCAACTGCATCCGCTGTAGAGTCATCTTCTTTACCCTCCTCGGACGGTCCTAGGATCTCCTTGATGTCACTGCTTCATCAAGAAGGGGACCCAGAAAGTATGTTTCCCAATAGGCGAAGATTGAGTTTGGGAGTTAGAACGGAGACGTCGGAAGTTAGGGCAGATTCTTCCAGATTTGCAGAAGAGCTGAGCGAGGAATTGGTAGACGGAGGGATGGATCCTATCTGCTGTGTTTGTATGGTGGGAAAGAAGGGAGCAGCATTCATACCTTGCGGTCACACGTTTTGTCGCAATTGCACGAGAGAGCTGCGAAAGGGAAGAGGAACTTGTCCACTTTGCAACCGCAAAATACAAGATGTTCTCATAATTTACTGACCTAAGGATAGGCCTGAATAAAGGCAGGCTGGGGGTTTGAACCCGTGCCATATTGTTACCGCCGTTGTCATATTTATGTTAGTATCTTGCTTTTTTGGGACCTCTTCTTACTTCTTTATTTGGCTATCCAGTCGGACCTCTTGTGGAGAACATTCCGCTTTATTAAATTCTCTAGGATGATTCATGAAAAGTATAACAGTGTATAGTAAAGGTCAATGAATCAAACTACTTGGAGAATGTGTTTTCCAACCTTTGACGAGTTAACGGTTGACCTTATATCGTGCTGTTATGGGATCGAGCTTCGTAAGGTCTGGCATGCACTTGCACTCACATGGGCACACGCCTCTTTATTATTTGTTTCCATTATAGATGGGTGGATCCAGGGTTGGTAGGAGCAGTCTTTTATGTGTTTCCGTATCAATTATTAAACTTCCGTCGTAGTTCGTTGGTTATATCTGTACCTGTCAGATTCATGGAGGAACTGCTACTAGTGATTCATTTGTGTGAACCAGAGGACTTAAGCGTATCTCACTTCCGCAACCGATTTCTTCTCCTGCAAGGATTATTATGCACTTTGCTAGTGAGGAACTCATTCTTTCAGGCAATTTAGCTGAACATACTTACCATTTTAAAAGACTCCTAGAAATATAGTAGAGGTGTAACATTAACATGCATATGATTTCTGTGTTGATTACACAATCTCAATATTGAAATCATTGTACTGCGTCTTCACATGTCCTTTAGATCTACTTTCTGCATAAAATCGATGAATTTACGTGTACCACTCAGACTTTTGCAGATTGTGTTGCCTGGCAATTGTCGCCATCCCTTGAGAGTCCTAATTGTACATCTCATTAACATTCAAGACCTGCACCTCTCAGCCAAGACGCGGGATGTCTCGTTAGGCAATGGCAACTTATCACAAGCGAGAGAGTCTATGGCCTCTCTGGCCAGCTCACTGTATGTTTGATGGGTCAGCAAGTAAAGCGAGAGAAACTCGGAAGCTAAAGTCATGCGTTGTGAATCGTGGTGGAAAGTAGATCAATGTATCGATGTTCCCTCGATGCGAGTGTTGATAGTGTATGATAAATAGATCATGCCCGTGAGACCCTAAAAGCTGAAACACACAATAAATCCAAATCCAACAAAAGATAAAAAATCTCACTAGCTAGAGCCAAGAGCATTGGTATGATAACTAATAACATCGTTCATTAAACAACCTAAATCATAATGTTCAAATTGTAATAAATAACAAAAATTCTCAACAACTTTATGAACCATTCTAATCTCTATATGTTTAATAGAGATAATAAATACATGTTATTCATCTTCAACTTTTCTCTCATCACATAACTTACAAACACTTTCACTCCTACCAATGTTCAATCAACACATTTCTTCAATTCCAAGATTATAAGATAATGTTCTATACCAAGCAATAATATGACGTAAAGATATAGAGATTTCCTTAAGTAGGTATACTTGCTCACAATTAACAAGCATAAGATTCATATGAAGTTGATAAAACTCCAATTTAGTGACTCGTATGTTCCAAATAATATAGAGAAATTATTCCTTAATACACTCGCGAAGTACCGTAAGTTGCAAATTCCGTCACATTCCCCCTCAAAGACCAAGTCAGCATGCAGAATCTATATTTGAGACATCTATCATTAAAAATTCTATCACTTTGACCTTTCTCATTCGACTTTCTTTGCGTTGGGATTGTATAGACCTTTCTAAATTTATCATTGTCTTCCCTAAGATGTGATTAAGCGATTCTTCAATGATCTGCCTTCGCTTGATTTAATCGTTCATTTACATTAGAGAAATCAATCCCATAGGCTTTTTAAATACATATGTTAGTAGTTAGTGTAACATCTATGGGGTTCTAACTCAATAAAAGCTGTATGTCAATTATTCCACCAAGACATTAGGGTAGTCATAATTATCTCATTACTTTTTATTTTTTTCAATATATTGTTCAGACCGTTTCGCTGTCTCTTGCGCTTCTCACTATATATATATTTTGTCCTTCTCATTATACTTCGCATGGGGCGGGGTGTTTATTGGCCTTCTTGGTCTTGACTTTTTTAGCCTGTTGGATTTTCCTTAATCCCATGGGTCAACCTCGTTCTTATTATCAAGTTCTGGTCGAGTTTAAGCTTTTTGCACATGACATATCCTAATCTTGTGGTCTTTGGGTGTATCACTTCCCCTCCTTTTTTTCGTTCATTTATGTATTCTTATCGAATTGTGTTGTGTGGGGACTGTCTAATTTCTGATATATTTACAAGTAGACATCACTGATTCGCTGTTTTCAAACTCCCCTCGATTCATGTTAATGGTCTAGATAAATGTATTGGGGGTTTAGGTTGTACCATGGAAGTGACCACAAACCCTCAAATTCAAGTCAGAGTTTACAGGAGGCAATGAAAACCCTGCTGAAAGGCAGGTGAGGTGAGCCGGTTTAGGGTCAAAGATCATGATAAAGTAATCGAACGTAGATGCTACAGTAGATAATAGTGCTGGGAGTTCACAGTTACTACGATTCATTGGACAAAAAATGTACAGAAGATCTCATGATTAACTAGCTCCTTCATTTGGGAAGGACAAGTCATGTCTCATGAGAACCACGGATATTTAAACTGGTCCAAAAGTCCAGATATCTCTGACTTGTTAGTAGTTAATTTAGGTCTTGTTAACTTAGTTCAGTGTTAGTCTAGTTAGTGTAACTAGAGCTAGTCTATCACAATATATGAGAGTTGATTATAGCTCTCTAAATGATTTGTTTTCCTAGGGATGTAGTTTTCACCGAGCTGAACCACTTAGTATCTATTTCGACTGTCTCTGTTTCGTTTTAACTTTTACGAATCCCTAACAATTGGTATTGAAACAATATTAAACAAGCAAGAAACTAGGATGTATCCAGCGAGCGTTGTGTGGTGGTGTTGTTCTCGTTGTTTGTATTGCTACTCTTTTGATCTTAAAGTATAATGATACAACTCAAAAAACTATTATGGGATGACAGATGTCAGTCAGACAGCTAAAATCCAAGTCAGAAAGGTCCAACCTGATTAATATCGGACGGGAGTTTTTTTTTGATTTAGTGCCTGTGTGCACGCGAAAAAAAGAAAAGTCGATGGATTGATGAACGTCCAGCAGCGTGAGAGGAAAGACGCAATGCCAGTGGCAGTTTGGATTCGCTGAATTCGCTAAGCAGAGGGGAATGTGGACGAATGCAGTAGCTGGTCAGTTGACTGCAAATAATGGAGTGGTCAATTTTGGTGAGGAAAAATGGCATGTCGGTCTCTCGTGCAGTGCGGCAATAAGAGGAGGCGTCGTCAATTATTTTGAGATGTTACTATGGTGGGCTCTGCAATTGGATGGTTTCAGGTCGACTGTCTTGAAAATGTTCTCGCTGTTGGAAATGTCTGTGAGAGTTTGGCTCCGCTTTGATATACCGCAGGGCTAATCCAGCGCGTCTACGGCCAGTGTAACGGTGTTGTGGAAGGTGGGGATTTATTAGTGTTGTGGATAGTCCTCCGATGAAGATTTTCTGAGTGAGAGCCAGGGGAGGTTGTGACCGGATACAGTGAGCACGATGAGGTCGCAGCAGTAGATGTTGAACAAAGAAAGTTGTAGTAACATGCGCTTGTAATTGGCAGCAAGGTTGGATTGGAGTGAGGTAGCAGCAATTTGCGCCGCTTGCTGCTGGCAGTGGCGAAGTCAATTTATGACGCCCGTACATGAGCATCATGTGCAAGAATTTGATGGGTAGAGGAGAGAAAAATGGTACACAATAGTCGGACTTCGATGAATGAGCTCGTATTGGACGAAACAATGAGTTGCTCCAAGGAATATCCAAACGCAACAGATGAATGAGTTTCAGAATTCATATCAAATTCATACAGGGTGATGCAGTTGCAAAATACTTGTAGAGATGATCATACAGCAACTTTAGAGATCTAGAGTAAGCTATCAAAGAGGCATCTGTGACTGGACATTAATCATCTGGATTCTAAGATGATCCTTTTTTCTTCCTTTTTTATCACATTCTGCTCGCCGACATCCCCTTGTAGGCAGTGGTAATAGACCAAGCCCGGGGGACTCAAAGGGTAAAAATCACAATACAAGCTAAAACCACAAACACAATCAGGTTATTCAAACACCCCAATATACATTTTTTACTTTAAGTCTAGGAACTTGTCAGCCGCGTGTCTTGCACGGACCTTACACAATTGTTGGAGGCCATTGTAACTTGACGTCTTTATACGTTGAACTAGATACCTGGTCCTGGTGGGACTCACTTAAGAAGAAAAATTGTTGAACACATTCTCAAATGGATCACGATCAGAAGGCAACAAACAGAGCTCAACATTTAGTCATAATTTAAGCTTTCTACATATTACTATCAAAACATCCTACACAAAACTCTGATCCAGGCAGAACTTATTGACGGAATAATGTGCTGGAGAACACAAATCGGTCAGAATTATGAAGTATCTTCCTTCATCCGGTAAAAATCTCAATGTACCAAATGCTTCAAAGGATATTTGTTTCCCATTTGTAAGTGATTGTAAGTTACACACACAATAGAATTGGACCATTTTCTCAAGACGGTAAAGACGGAGTTTGCTATACGCGTAAAGCAATCATGATGATTGACATTTGAAGAGGTCAAGGATATCACCTTCATTGCTATTTACGAATTTTACACTAGACCCTAATCCTAACATGCTTTTGAGTAGGTTTTTTGTGTGTGGATAAAACTAGGATTCTAGATTATGGGATCTAGATTAAAGTAAGGTTTATGAATGAAAAAAAATGCTAGTCTGAATTCACATAATCTAGATTTACTATAATGATTTATTGAATGTTCCTATGAATGGGAAAAATTATCCCTTTGAATAGACTATACAAGCAATCAATCTCTCGACTCGATTCAATAAGATAAAATTCGTGAAGTATAGAGGAAATGAGTTTCACAAAATGATATAAATGGAATTGTTAACTATCTGCTTCAGCCGAGACAAGTTAAGGCTTAATGTTATACATGTGGACAAGATGTTCAAATCTACATGTTTTCTTTTTCATCGAGTAAAAAAAAACTCCTCAAGAATAAGTTGTGATTATTATTATGTACAACCTTTACATTTACAATCTTCAATTTGAAAACAAATAGATAACCATAAAAATCAATAATTAACAACAATTTCATTATAAAGAATGATGAAACAAGTTGTACGACTTCTTCTCG